AGTCACTTGTGGGATTGCCAAGGATAAAAAGTAGAAAATGGAAAAAATGACATTCGCGATTATCTACGGCGGAACAATGAAGTTTTTTTGCGTAAGATGTTAAGTACGATTGACACTGAGACGTATTACGAAATAACTTGTTCTTAGTCCCAGACCTTTTATCCTACCCCATTAGTCCTTTTTTCTTTGTAAATCTCAAAACACAGCCATAAGAGACTGAAAGAAGATTATCCTCAGGATGAGGGGATGTAGTAGCATTTGAAGCAGGACCCGTATATGATTAACTGTAACTAGGTGAATCTAGATGAAAAAGTTTCAAGTGTTGAACTGGCTCGTAAACTCCCATTAAAATTTCCTATAAAATAGCGGTTTTTTTAGTTGAAAACCTTGTTTGATGCTATAGAAGATAAAATCTGCTTTTGAAGTTGTGCTTCAATGAGATCCAACACTTTTGCAAAAGTGCCGAATAATTTCGTGAAAATGCAAAGATATATAAGAAGATGAGTTCACTTGTTGCGTGAACATTCCAGATTCAAAAGATAACGTGATGAGTAAAAATGTGATTGACGTAAATCACACACGTTTCTCCAATTATTGAGTCCCATTACCTCAGAAGATATGCCCAGTGCATGATATCGACGAAGCAAAGCAAGATGAAAAATGCTTTGAGAACGTAGAATTGACGTTTTGGATTGAATGCCGACCATGCCTGAGTAATAAATTTTTGTCACAATTTATGAAGAAAGAAAACAACCTCACCTGGCTATTATCTATAGTAAGATTTTGTCGATTTTCGGAAGGTAGATTGGCAAGTGACCCATTTGTGGAATCATGCCGAATTATCGAAAGAGTTTTTGAACCACGAGGAGACGACTGCCTCGAATCCTAGAAAAATCACAGTTTATGCTCGGAAAGACCATCTCAGCTGAACTAGTACCTCAGAGGTTGTTTTCATCACTTCGCCATTGACTTTGAGTTCTAATGTGTTCGCTCGCGACCGAATACGGGTACCACCTTCTAATTGCAAGTCGATCGAACGACGAGACGATGAGTCGCCTTCTTTCACCTTAAATGCAAAAAATATAGAATTAAAAACAAGTCGCTATTTTGAAGAAAATCTAAGAACATTGGATTCTCAACCCATAAAAGTTCATCTCAAGTAGGAACATAAAAATCATGGTTGTCGATAAAGCGGAAACGACCAAGGAAACAA